CCCCCCCCGGCACCCACACCCACACCCACATTGGATGCTTTACAAAAAGAACTGGATGATGGTTGGCAGTTACAAAAGCAAGGAAAAAGAGGAAGCAGGTTGTGGCTGATTCACAGGGAGATACTTTTGTTATTGAAGTAGGCAGTTCCTACTACACTAGAAGAGACTCCCTCACTAAGCTTACTAGAGGGAGAACCAAACCCTCCTACCAAGATTAATCTCCTTTGCTGGAACATTAGGGGAGTGGTTCACCCACTCTCCCAAAAAAGGCTCCTTCATCTTAACAAAAAACATAAATTATGGTGTATTGCTCTACTTGAAACTTTGGTTTACAAATATCCACAAAAGGTTTTGAAAGAATTCCATGGCTTCTCCCACTTTTCCAATAATAATAACAAGATTTGGATCCTTTGTATATTGGAGATTACTTGGTCAGTCATTATAGATGACCCTCAATTTGTTCATTTTCAATTTGATATTGCTGGCAAGTCTGGTTTTGCAACTATATTTTATGCAATCTGTAATAAGGTTGCTAGAAGAACTCTATGGAATGATCTTCATAATATTGGATGCTCTATGTCCTCTCCCTGGCTGGTGGGAGGTGACTTTAATTGTGTGGCTGACACCCCTGAAAAAAGGGGTGGAAGGCCCCCTAACCTTCATAAAATGGTTGAATTCAGTGACAACATTCAAGCTGCTAAATTATTTGATCTTGGTTTTCAAAGAGCTAATTTTACATGGAGAAGAGGGAAGATATGGGAAAGACTGGACAGGTTCCTAGTAAATGATTATTGGTTTCAATTTTTTCTGCAAACTTATGTTTCACATTTGTCTTTAGCAAGCTTAGACCACAGACCCCTACTGATCTCCATTATTGTCAACCCCACCCTGACAGCGACTTTTTATATGCTTAAAATACAAGATAAATATGGACGTAATAAATATTCAATAATTGTAAAGTCACACTTATCAACGCAAGTATACGTATCGCTTAAGTAATATAGGGCTCTAATGGAGTCCTAGATATCGATCCCACAGGGAGTGGTTAGAACTGTGAACTAAGATTTTAGAAAAGCAATACTTTAATCACAACAACGAAGTTCAATTTACTTATCTGTCACTAATAGACAATTGAAATAAATAAATAATTTTAATAACTATTAAATAACTAATGATACTAAGGAGGGTTTAATTGTGATATTCAATATATAAGAAAGCAACCTTCTCCTTGTGAGGAAATTATAGTGAATGGATAGAGTGAATTAGTTCAATTTAGATTGTGTCAAATAGGAGCATACTTATTCTTTATCCTTTGGTCCAGGCATAAAGAACATTGACTAATCCTACGCTTGTTTACTAAATATTCGGCTAGGCTGGGAGGATACCGGCTCTCACTTCGAAGCTCCCACGTTCCCCTCACCTGAGGGCTAACATCTACACTTCAGCAC